AGTAGTAGATATAATGGTCACCTGAATTAAATTTACCCATTCCCATCCATTTTAATTCACTGATTCCCAAGATGTTGACGTTCAACCTTGTCATCTCAGACCCTAATTTTACTCATGTTCAAAAGTTATTCTATCAATTTAATTTTTAAATTACAAAATCTATTGCAATATCTGGCTTGTTTGTAGTTGACTATCATAATCTGACTGCATTTGGCAATAAATCCTACTTTATTTCATTTTGGCAATATTTCTTCTAGATCTGAAGGATTACCAGGATGGAACCACAAGTGCACTTCATTCAATGAATTTACTTTCTGAAGGTTTGAAATCATCAATGTGTGCATGTTGTTTTAATTTGATTTGATTATTTTACACTCTGCCCTTTCCAGAAAAAAGTTAACACTGGGTCATTTTCATTGTAATAATATTTCTTAGTAAGATGCAAAAGGTGTAGAGTAGGTTACCAGCTTTAGTGACACCTGTGCCACATGGAGCAGTCCCTAATAACAGTAAGAACAGCAGCAGTTTTGCCACATTTTGGCCAATAGGACACAAATGCAACCAAAGCCCATATTTATCCCAAGCATACTAATTGTACTCCATGCAGGTTAAAATCTTTAATGTAGAGATTACCTTGCAAATCTTTATACTCTTTGATATCCACCAACAAGGAAGAAATATTTTGAAATATTAAAGTCAACATACACATAAAGAAACCTCTTCAGAAGAGGCTGGATGGAAATATAATCTCATTTCTGATCTCACTGTGTTATCCTCTGCAGAACCTGAAACATCTACCTTAGCAATCACAGATGTTCTTTCCTGTTCCAATTTTGCTGTGCATCATAAATATCTTTTTAAAGAAAAACAGTTACGGACAAAAGCTGCAGGTAAAATTTATTTCCATTTAGATCACCTATTACTTAGCATAACTATAATAATTTATCTTCTGTCATATAAACAATTGTGCTACGCATCCACTTTGATTCTCTAGGATTCTTGGGATATATGTTGCAGTAGAAGCAGCTTCCCACATATGTCCTTTTCTTTGTAATTATCAGACCACTGGATTTTCCATTTAGTAATTTGATACCATGGTTTATCATTAGTCTTCTTACCCCAACCTTGGGCAATTGCATGTTTATTATAGTGGTTACCATAAGTCAGTAATAAAATACATGCATTGCATGGAACAGTCCCCATTTTAATCTCTGGTGTCTTTGCTTTTCTTCAGCCATTAAAAAAAGAGAAACAAAGGAACTTTTCTAAAATTCTTCTGTCACTCACTTTATGAATTCCATTTTTCCAATGAGTTCAATGGGTTGAAAACAGAATAAATTTTATAGTGATTTTGTTGTTGCAATGAAAATACATTTCTTCATTTACTATTTAACTAAATATACTCCACCTATTTTTTTCCAAATGTCCTTCAGATGACAAGAAAGACCCATGCAAATGTGAACATCTTATGGATTTCCAGAATTTTGCAACTACTGAAGTTAGGAAACTAACTCAGCAACATATCCTTTCTATATAACTATTAATTTTTTGTCTAGATTTTCAAGTCAATATATTTGAAAATGAACTATATTTCTATTTCTCTGCAGAGAAATACAGTTGATTGAATTTAGACTGCAGCCCTGTACTCATCCACTTGGAATTAAGACCTTCTAAAATTAACAGGACTTAACCTATGAGTTAAGTTACCTGTAAGATGTACTTTAATCATAACTGGGCAAACTTACACTAGTAAATTTAAGGTATGTGGTCTTGCTCTAGAGGTAAAATGGAAGGCCCATTGAAAAAAACTACGAACCTTTCCTCACTTCTATTTAACGGTGATGCAGTCATCTCTTTTCTTTTCATGTCCTTGTGACATTGCTTCCATCCAGTCCTCAACCATGAGGCAGCTTTAAATCATCCTTCATTATGGTGTTAAAGTCATGTTTCCCACCTTACTTTGACACATATTTTGCCCTAGATACAACCTAATGCACTTCATTGACCATTATGTTGGTAACACAGTCATGTGACCAATAGGGGATGGGATCAGCCTGGTACCTAATGATCACACCACATCTGGTTGGTGTGGGTACATAACCTCCACTTTGGTTCCTACACCCTGTCTTTTAAGGCTATTCTGTTTTGTGCAATAGGAAAAACCAGTCCTTTCAAACTGAAGGCTCTACTGTACTCACCAGGTCTCCAAGCTGATCCCCAATTCATAAACCTGGATTATCCTGAATAGCACCTGACCAGCAATGGCAGCAGGAGTGGAGCTGTATGGTGAAACAGAGAGAGAGCTATCTCTACTACTCCATGGTGCAATTCTCCCCACACCTGCCAGTTATGTTCCAGTTGACTATAGCTTTTGCTGGAATAGCACTAATCCTGTGTCCAAAAGGAACCCAATTATCAGCTGATAGTTTAAAATTCCACAATTTTAAAGTGCTGGTCTAGTCATTTGTCCAAACACGCTTTGTCCCTAAGCCCCAGTCCCATTCTATGGAAAGGAGATTAATTAGTGGATGTTTTCTTGCCAGCTACTAATTATATGTAATGTAATTGTATGTGCCTTCAAATCAGTGTTGACTCCTAGCGACTGCCTAGCCTCTATGTAATAAAATAGTTTTATCTATCCATCCATCCATCCATCCATCTGTCCATCCATATTAATAGACATTAATACCTGTCACAATCATATAGACACTCTAGGCAACTCACAGAGGACCAGTTTGGTCTAGCGGTTAAGGCACCAGGCTAGAAACCAGGAGACCATGAGTTCTAGTCCCACCTTAGGCACAAAGCCAGCTGGATGACCTCGGGCCAATCACTCTCTCAGCCACAGGAAAAAGGCAATGGCAAACCACTTGTGAAAAACCTTGCCAAGAAAACTGCAGCGACTTGTTCAGGCACACCAGGCATCAACACTGACTTGAAGGCACAAAAAAAGAAAAAGAAAAAAAGAGGCTTATAGCAACAACAGCAATTTATAAACCAAGAATTGAAAGTAAACAAACCTACTTTAAAGAAAGCATGGAGGTTTAGACTTGAAATGCTATTCAGAAAAGCTCTGTTTTAAGAAGGTTCTGGAAGGTGACTAGAATTGAGGCCAAATGTGCTTTCTCACAAAAGGCTGTTCTAGAGGGCTTGGCTAATGATGGAAAAACACCTTGGTCCCCCTGACTTCCCAGAAATAGAGCCACCAACTGCTTCTCCTGGCATGATCAAGCTGGTCAGGCCAATTCCTGTGGAGAGATGTGGTCTTGAAAGTAGCCTGGTGCCAACCCATAATATAGTACTTTTTCCTTAGTTACATGTATTTGAAAACTACTTGCAGATCTTGGTTGCTAGAGTCCAGATGACCACTAGGTGGCAGCAAAGAATTTTACTTATTTCTTTGCAACTCACTGGATTTTTGCAGCCCAGATCTGGTACTTTTAATTCTGCTCTCTGGCAAACTTCAGGTTTATATAAGCATGCACTACTCTTTTTCTCAGCATTCTGTTGTTGTTCCAGTCCGTTAGCATTTCAGCTCATAGAGGGAATTATGACGATGAGTAATGCTAAATCTCAAGATTGGTTTTGCTGCCTTTATTTTCTTGAATGGCAACAGCGTAAGTATTTGGCCTGCTAGTACTCTGTAGCAAATACACTTGTTAAGAGTATTAGTGATGATGAAGCACGAGCCTCCTCTAGCTGCAGTTTCAAAATACAGAATGGCAGTTTATATAATGGGGGTGGTTGTTCAGTTAATTTACTATATGACCTGATGGGCATCATTTTGTTAAGATTCTCAATGGTTATTTCTTTAAATAAGCTCATTCTTACACCATGATTGTGTTTTCTGTTGACCACTGTTTCAGTTGCCTTTGATTCTTCCAAGCATTAGGATCTTCTCAAAGACTTTTGCACTAATCACTGTGGGCTGGATGGTATATGGTATCCTTAGGCCACATTGATTGATGACACCACCTCCCACCAATGCGAAGATTTGTATTTTTAGAATGATTTGGAAGGAGGTGTGGTATTGACACCTACTAAGCTTTGGTGCCTTAGGCCAGCGCCTACTTAAAGACAGCCCTGGCCCTAACATTACGTATCCAAAATACTTAACCTTCAGCTTTGATATTTGTGCTTCCAATGAGCAATTTAATTTTACTTCATCTAAGATTGAATTTTTATTTTTCTTGTGGTCCAAGATATTCTCAACAATTTTCTCCAGAGACCACAATTCAAAGGCATTTTGTCCATCCTTTCTGAATGAAAGCTCAGGCTTTCAAAGTCATGTTACAACTGGGAAAAGAAGAGCCTTGATAATACATATTGTTGATGTCAGTATGGGATCCCTGTTTTATGTTTGATCTAGATCTGCTAGTCTTCCTCCCAAGTAGTAAATGTCTATTTTATGCCTATGGTCACCATCCCTTTGAATATTTGAGCATGGGAAGACTAAATCTGTTACCATTTCGGCTTCTTATCTGCCTATTTGCATTTGCATTGCATTGGCATTGCCTGTTCATATAATATTTTAAAAAAAATACTGTGTGATGAGGTTTTGCATTTTTTCACCTACAGTAAGCTAATTTATTTATTTATTTCAAATTTGTTCACTGCCCATCTCACTAGGAAGTGACTGGTCAGTTTACAGTAAAACAAAAATAAATATTAATTAAAACACAATAAAAACCATATTCATACATAAATAATATCTTCCCAGGTGTTACTGGTAAAAAGGATATTGACATACAGGAGCATCTTCAAGGTGCTAGCCACCCCCAGGGTTGGTTGCCCCCTTTCTCGCCCCATGCGAGTTGGGAGAGCCAGGTCTTAACCCCTTTCTGGAAGGTTGAGAGTAGGGGCCTCCCCCTCCCCTCCTTGTCTGTGGGGGGGGGGGCGCCTGCCGTCGCCTGTGTGGGGGGGGGCACCCGGGGGCCACAGCAGAGAAGTCTCTCCTTCTGGCCCCACCAGTCAACATTCTTTCATTGACAGGGTTTGTAGCATACCCTTTCTGCTTGACCGGGTGAAACAGGTCAATATAATGGGGGTGAGACAGTCCCTCAGGTAACCCAATCCTGGTATATAGGGCTTTAAAGGTGATAACCAACACCTTCAATTGGGCCCGGAAGCAAACTGGTGCCCAATGCAGCTCCTGCAGCAAAGGTGTAACATTCCATCTTTGGGGCACCCAAAATTACCCACATGGCTGCATTTTGAACCAGCTATAGCTTCCAGATATTCTTCAAGGGTAGCTCCATGTAAAGTGCATTGCGATAGTCTGTGTGGGAGATGTTGTCAGGTTCAGCTCAAGAACCACAGCGAGACAGTCCAGGAACAGCTCAGTTACTTTATTAGCTTACACCTAATAGTATCTTGCCAGACTAACTCTAAGCTCCCAACGACAGCAACTATAACCCTGAATCCCTTAGGGAGGGGCCAGTCTCCTTCTCTTCACTTTCACACGCTCCAGCTGGGGGCTGAGATGATGTTTGGAATGTCTCTCCCCCTCCCTGTAACCTTGAAGCTCCATTCCAGGATCCTCCTCGCTCATGCCTACCATCACAGATGACTAGGGCATAAGTGACTGACTGGAGGGCCTCCTGATCTAG